ATAGATAGATAGATAGATAGATAGATAGATAGATAGATAGATAGATAGATAGATTGAACAGCACAGAAATCATCACATGGGAAAGGAATGGGGGGAGTTTACATAAATCTTTAACAGAGTTGTACAAAAGAATGTCATTGACTCCAACTGACACCAAATGGCCCAGATAATAAGCAAACAAGCATTACTAAACATTCTCTATATAATGTCTTTAATATTTCTGGCAGATATTTTATAAGATTGGTTTCAACGTATGTTTGCTGTTTCTATCAATAACTACCATAACATACATACACATATGCAGGAAGTGTACAAAATTTAGAATTAAGGCTATGTATTAACTTAGGTTATAAAACTTGATTAGAGTGGAATCCACGGCAAGTGACGTTGGTTGTAGCACTGTTCTTTTAAAAGAAGGTTAAATAAACAGGGTGAGTACACTGAGAGAGCAGCCTGAAGTCTTAAGGAACCTTAAGCTATGTTAATAATCTTTTTTGAGGTCCAGCAGAATTTCTGTTCTCTTTGAGTATATGAGATAATTTTATAATGATGTATTTGGCACAACACATATTTTATTTATTCCAAGATTAGGAAATCATTAAAAAAAACAGATGGTTTTTACTTTGCATGATTGAAATAACTCTTTCCTTACTTAATGAAGGTTCTCTTCAGGCTGGGGTAGTATCTTGAAACGGAGTTTCCTTGTGTAACCATGACTTTCCTGAAACTCACTTTGCAGACCAGGCTGGCCTCAAACTCACAGAGCTCCAACTGCTTCTGCCTCCTGACTGCTGGGATTAAGGGTATGTGCCTCCACAGCCTGGCCAATAAAGATTCTTTACTCAGAACATTCAACTGTTTTCTGGCATGATTGTTTAGTTGTTCCTTTTTTTAATGCTCTCCATTCACTTATTACACAGTTGAGACATTTTTTCATTAAGAGAAAGTAAATCCTCTTTTTCCTCAAAGTTCACTCACACTGCCTATAAATCCAGGGTCGTCTCAGAATATGCCACACCCGCTCCCACTGTGTTCCACCCAGACTCTCAGCCAGGACTGGTGTGGGAAGAGCTTCAGACCCAGATGACTGGGAGGGAACACAGCAGTATTTGACCTGGCAAACTTCCTGGGTGCAGATGACTGGTTGAAGGAGGTGGGGCACTATAACAGACATCCTGACACCACAGTCTAGGTGTTGGTTACTTGCTTCTGTCTCCATCATCCAGACAAGCACCATGAAGAAGCTGCTGTGCTCTCTGCTGGGGCTTCTGTGCACCCAGGTTTGCTGTGAGTCTGACTGTCCACATTCAGGAGACAAAGAGGATTCTGCTCAGCACAAGGAGTGGTGGGAAAGCAGCTCAGGGGTTCTGCAGAGCTCTCTTTCTCAAAAGACATGGAGTGTTTTCAAAGGTCTATGGACACTGCATTAATCACCACCTGTGTCTCTCTCTCTGTTTTTAATCAGGGGTGAAAGGGCAGCAAGTGAAGCAGAGTCCTGAGTCCTTGGTGCTGCAGGAGGGAGAGAGCACAGAGCTGCAGTGCAACTTTTCCAGCACTGCAAAACAAATGCAGTGGTTTTACCAAAGTCCTGGGGGACACCTCATCAGTCTATTTTACAATCCTTCTGGAACAAAGCAGAGTGGAAGACTGAAGTCCACGACAATCACTCAAGAACGCCGCAGCTCTTTGTACATTTCCTCCTCTCAGACCACAGACTCAGGCACTTATTTCTGTGCTGTGGATCCACAGTTCTCCCCACACACCTGCAGCCAGTACACAAACCTTCAGTTGGGTGGGTGTGGCCATCCCCTCTCATAAAATATTAGAATTCCACTACAGAACATCTGCTTAATTTAATATCCCTTTTAAGTATAGACAGAGCTTTGACTTTTAACCTCAGGTAAACTTTTGGGAATGTAAATTCTCAATGTGCACTCCCTCCTGATGCATAAATGTCCATCTTAGAACTAACAGAGAAACTGAAGGGAAGACTAAACCAATGGCAGGTAACCTGCTGTGGACAGGGCCAGGGTTATGGTGAGAAAGTGAACTGTAGCAACAGCAAGAACATCAATATATAGAAGATACAGGATGTACAGATAGCTAGATGCCCTAGTTTTCTTTCTCTTGCTGTGATAAAGCTCTCTGAGAAAAAGCAACTTAGCAGGTGAAAGGATTTATTTTGATTTCACTTCCAGTTTATAGTTCACCAATGATGGTAATTCAGTCAGTAACTCAAACAGGAGATTCAAACAAAAGCCCTGAGGAAACTTTTTTGCTAGCTCCCTCATGGGCTCACCTTAACTAGCTTCCTAATAAGACCCAGGGCACTTTCCCCACAGAATGGTGTCACCCACAGTGCATTGGTCTCCATTCAACTCATCAGTTAAAAAAATTGTGCTTGGTGTTTTAGTGCAATTTTCTTGAATTTATGGAAGATGTTGGGAATATTGAAGGCATTTAATCTTCTAATTTATTATTTAAGTTACCTTTTCAAATATTTAACTTTATTCTTTATTGTTTTGAAGTTTTCTAGACAGAGATCTTAATGTCTTTAAGAAAATAAAGAGAAAATCAACTATGAAAAATGCTCAAGCATGTATCTTGTGCAACTAGGCTTAAAGAGAGTATCTAAAAACTCTTACAAGTCAATAAAAGAAAATGGATGACTCATTCTAAAATGAGTCAAGTGAGCAGACTCTGTGCAAAGGAATGAGTATGTGTTAAGGACAAATGATTAGGATGTAGTTAGTGACTGTGCTGGATTAGTAAGTGGTGGTTGTAGGCTCTGCTGCACGATCCATGACTTTACGAGCAGATGGAGGCCACTGTAGAAAACGCCATGAGTAACAATGCAGAGAAGTGGAGTCTAGTCATGACAAATAGGTCTACAATATGACTCCTGTTAAGACTCAGGAAACACTGAAGAAGAGGGATGAAAATATGATAAGAGCCAGAGGGGCAGGGAGTTGGTTGTGAAATTGTGACTCCTAAGCCTGTCAGAAGCTACACACATGAAGACTTGCCAACATGATTATCTAAACATGAGCTGAAAAAGCACAACAATAGACATGTTAAGGTTCATATAGAAAGTACAGAAAACATCAATTCTAGCTCATGAGCTGCTTGAAGCTAGGAAATGCTGTTAGTGAGAGACATAGTTATCCCCAGAGAAGAGTGTACCAATCGATTATCCAATACTTACTGGTCACACCCGAAAACATGCTTACAAGTGACTTTATATAAATTTACAGGTCTTTTTTATATATAGCAATAAATATGTTATATATATATATATATATATATATATATATATATTCACGTGTAACAACCATTTAAGAGAGAAGAGGTTATAAAATTTAAAGAGATCAAGGAGAGAAAGATAGGAAGTTTTGGAAGGAAGAATTGATATGACTACATTGCAATTGAAAAATAAAACATAAAATTGAGTGAAAGAAATATAAACTTTATGGTTTAATAATTGGCATGTGTACAGTCTATGTAAGGGGTCAATAAAATATAACTCTGTGAAATCCAAACATTTTTTTATTTTATAAGCTTCATTGTAAGTAATCAGCATTGTTATTTCCTTTTGTCTTATGACTGGCTTCTCTCATTCTCCAGAATGAAGTAGTTTTAGGCACAACAGAAGACAGGGAATAATGAGGGTACATGGAGAAAAGAGTGGAAGGGGGAAGAGAGAAAACTATGCTAGAGCTGACCTCAGCATAGACACAATCAATTTCCATATCAAAAATATTGCACCAGAGAAAGATTTCATTCCTTTCTTTATTCAAGATGTAGACATTAAGGACAATGTTCAGTATGAAGACCTTCTTATTTGTCCACAGAGGAACAGTTCTGCTTCAGAGCAGATGAAGGTGTGGCTCCTCAACACACTCCTCAATAATCTATATATAATTGCTTTATTAAGTAAATCAGCTTCTATGTTGCTTACATTTCAGTATAAAACAAATGCATATATCTGTCTAGCCTATATTTACCTATATAATATCTGTTTATACTAGGTCCAGGGTTTTGACAAATAAGAATTTGTAAGTGAACATTATGAAGATGAATGCTGTCATTGAAGGCCTGGGCCACATTAACTTCGCTATTATACATTTCTAAGATTATCAGCCACACTTGCTTCAATATCCAGTCACATTTATATAACTTGTGCCTAGGATTACATTAGATGTTCTATCCACTTCTCATAGTTTGAAGACAGTTCAATCTTCTCCTCCATCAGGATCTTCTCTGGATGGATTGGGGAACAGTGTCTACACCCTATCCTTCATTGTCTTGTCTAGACACACAGGTGTCTTCTGTAGGCTTCTGTTTTCTGTTCTTGAGTGATGCTTTCCAGAAAGAAGATTAGAACAATGTGTGTCATGAAAGATATCTGAGAACTGCCCACACAGTAGTCAGTTTGTTTGGCACTCAGCAAATATGTAGGACTTCAGCCCATCTTGTTTAACTTTTTTAGTTCTCAATCATTTGACATTTTAATATCAAATAAAATCTTGAGAAATAAGCAGCCTGTTCATTTTAAGCCACCTATTCCTTTCTAGTACTATCAGAGATTCCCACCAGTAACTGTGAGCGTTTTTGTTTGGCATATCTTGGCTGTCCATGAAGATATGGTCTGTTTTCACTGAGCAACTCTCTGAGTCCTCAGATGACTCTTTAGGTATCATAGTGCTGTGTGGTGTGTGATGCAAGTAAAGATATCCCACGTTAGCTCAGAATAGCATATATTAACGTGTTTCTTTATTAAAAGGAACTCATTGATCACAGAGAGGAAATAGGAATGGGGTCCAACATCCAGGTGTCCCTGCCAGAAAGAAGGGAGGTGAGTGGGCAGGACCAAGTATTTTTGGTATACAAAGACATTTCTCAATGTAGTCAAGCCTCTTAAAGGTCATTCGCTGAAGGAGGTTCCCCCTTTTGTCTAAATAAGAGAGTTCCAAACCTACTACAAAACTATATACAATAAAAACAGATATCAAGTATAAAAATTAGAATTGTAACCATCTTAAACAATATTAAGCAGTGGATATATGCTAAATATTTCAATAATCATTCTATCCTAAAAAGTCTAAGTCTTGTGTTAGAAATGGCTTGACTAAGTCAAAAGAGGAAAGAAATGATGACTATCTACTCTTCAGCCCCATTGAAGGCCTAATAAAGAGATAATATTACTTTAGTAGGTAGGAGGTGCAATTAAACAGTTTCCAAAGTGTGCAGTAAATGAGAGAGACAACTGGCTTCCTGGACAATCACACAAGTATTATTTGCAATGTCTAAGCAACCAACTTAGGCTAAGGCCTAGAATAACTGACAGACCATTTTCAGAGGCAGGAACAATTTTCAAACTGTCTTACACTGTCTTGACAAGGTATGACAGTATTTTTTTCTTGTATCCTGCTTGTCCAGTCCAGATGCCATACATTTTGTCAGTGGTGGAAGCATGGGTAGTTCCTTGCCCAAAGCCCAGTTTTGCCAAGAAGAAAACAAGCTCCAAGTGGAGTGTCCTCAGTGCTCAACATTCTCTCAGGAAAAGATTGCTGCTGCCAAGAACAATCGTGTCTCACGTCAACAGAAACCTAGGTTATTTAAATGACCTATTCTACAGTTCTTTGAAGTAGTTATAAAATACCTTTCTATTTAGGATACAATCTCTATGTATCTAAAGAACCTGATTAGTCTAACTATAAGTATGACAAGCATGAATGACTATTTACCTATAAAACTTAATACCTATATAACTTTAAAACTAAGATTTCATATTAGATTATAAACCAATCTTTAAACAACTGTGCAGTAAATAAGAACAATGACCTCAAAGTGTAAACAATGTATAAATATCTTGATTGAGGTAGAAATATATAATGCAATATGATAAATATATCCTCAAATTTGTATCTAATATACAAAAATGTCTTAAATGGAGGTAGAAACATCCATGCATACAATCTGACAACTAACTTTGCATAGGTGTACAAATATTGCAAATAGAAATAGGAGCATATTCAATACAAAAAATATAATTTGAACTCGTTCAAAATATAAGAATTTATACCAATGTAAATTGTTCATAAATAGCAACTCAAACGTATTCACTCTATTACTCACCATTATTATTATTAGTGTGAGTAAGCTCACACTAATCTACCTATTATCCCATTCAATTTCCCTGTTTTTCTTTAAGGAGATCTCTGGGTCTACATAATTTTCACCCCAACCCTCAACCCTATACCAGTTATAATCAACCCCTAAATGCTGTCCTTATCCCTAAGGACAAACTTCTTTGGTAGAGGGGACATCATCTTCTACAATTACTTCCAGCTGTCATGGGGGCAATGTTCTTTCTATGGAATCCTGTTTAAAAAATTATAGTTAAGCTTCCAGATTACTGTCTGGTATAATTGCAAATAGTCTCTTAATAGTTGATAGGATTTTAAAGTAGCTCTATTAGTAGTCATATCAACCAGGTGGAGTCATTGTGGTGGAACCACATCTTCTTCTAGAAAATTTCAAGGATTACTGCAGAAAAATCTATTGTTAATTGTGGAAAACATAAATATTATTCATATAGACATAATACAAAAAAGACATGATATAGACAAAATAGGCATAGAGAATAGCAAAACATTTCCTAAAATCTTTCTTCTTTCTCCCCAAACAAGATGACTCCTGACATGAGAGGGAAATTCTGAATTTTTCTTTGAACAACATGCTTGAAGTTAGAGAAGGATAGCCATTGTCAAACTCTAAAACCATATAGATAGATAGATAGATAGATAGATAGATAG